TGGTGCTGGGAAAACTGGGAAGCTACATGCAAAAAAATGAAACTAGATCACTGCCTCACTCCAGGCACAAAAATCAACTCGAAGTGGATTAAAGACCTAGACACAAGAACGGAAACCATAAAATATCTGGAAGCAAAGATGGGTCAAACACTACATGACATGCATGTCAGCGACATCTTTAAAGATAGAGCACCCAACGCCACAACAGTGAAGGCAAGGATAAATAGATGGGACTACATCAAGTTAAAGAGCTTTTGTACAGCAAAAGAGACATTACAAAAAACAAACAGACAGCCCACTAATTGGGAAAACATTTTCTCACACAAAAGTTGTGGTAAAGGATTGATCACAAAAATATACGGAGAACTGACGAAACTCAACAAAAATAAAGTAAACAACCCCATCAAAAAATGGGCCCATACTTACTAAAATTAAAAACAGGAACCTGTATTTGCTTCCAGTAGGCAGCTGTTTAAAACAGACAGCCAATAGTGGGCTATGCTTTAAAGGCAGGTTTCTAGCAATTACTATTTGAAACAGTTACCTATGTATAACACACTTTAAAATTTATATCTGAGTTATATGACATGAACACACTATCAAGGGGAGTAACAGAGACATGAGTGGACTTAAGAATTTGGCAGCTCTCTTACCCACCTTTGCAGGTACCTCATTTTCTTTCTCCTTTGCCTAACCTGCACCTTTCACTGGCAACTATTTTTGCCTCCTTATGTCTATGCATGCATCCTCTTCTTCCCTTTCCTTTTTTATATAATAAATTTGTGGTTTGGGATATATTTTTTAAAAATGATGGAATAATATTATTAAATACTTCCCAGGCAAAGTCTGTATCAGTTCCAAAGAAATTCTACTAAGATATATTTACATATGTAACACACGATATAGGTGTTTATAATAATGCTACTAAACAAAAATGCTCAGTATTAAATATTAGGCCACCTTTTAGATAAAATGATGGATTCAAATTCAGTCTTAAGTGACTAGAAAGTGTCACTATATTATTCTGCCACCACCAGTGACTTCTAGAATTAGACATGGAATGATTACCTAACAAGGCCATATGAGATAATAACAAAGTTTTCAACCTTTACTTACAGGAGAAGTTCACAGATCCTGTGGCCCTTTTGTCCCATAGAATCCAGATATTTAAGACACTTTTTTCTTAGATCTATCACCTATAATGGAAAAATATGACATCAAGAATACATATTCATCAACAGTAGTGAGGATTTTATCTCTAAAAAGAAAAGCATCTTTTAAAATATCAATACATGTACCAACATGAGTGAAATTCTAAGATACATTTTATACATCATAGGCACGAGCTGTGTTTCTATAAAATTATATATTTCTATTCTAAAAGAAAGGTGTAGAAATTTATTTCCCAAAACATTGGTCATCCTCAAAATGATGAGATTTTCTTTATACTTATACTTTCTTATAGTAAAGCTGTAGTATTTTGCAAGCAAAACTAAATAAATAACCTATATAAACTAGAAGAGCTCTAAGTAGAAGCTTCTCAGCCACAGGAATGTCTTCTTGCTTTCTTGGTTGTTCAACTCCAGAACCATGAAGGGACTCAGCAGAGTACACCTTTAACACATGCTAGACAGCACAGTAGACATGCACTTGACAATAAAGCACAGCCTTCATTATTTAAGAACATGGTCCAAATTTTAACAGTTAACCCTCTCAACTCACCACCAGGCTCCAATGTACCTTCCGATGAATAGGCACCAGAATTAGCTCCTGTTCAAAGAGATTGACCCCTTTGGTCCATCTTTTCACTGCTTGGTAACCCCCAGACTTTAGTTTAGGATAGAAGAAAGTACTGAATGCATGAAGTGCCGGAAAGCCTTGTTTTTTATTTCTTTCCACTAGAAGATTCATGTAAAAGTTAATGACCTGTAATAACAAGACAGTATTTGTCGGAACTTAGCATGCACATTATCAAAACTAAATTTCTGCTGACCTGAGTTAGGGTAAATCAAAGGTAAGCATCTTATTTAGGTAAGAAAAGATACTAGGGTCCGCCCTGGTAGCGCAGCGGGTTAAAGCACAGCCATTAAGAAGCTAAAGCCACTTCCCATGAGTTCATTCCTGCCTGCCCGCCCACTCCCCCCCCTTCAGGAGATCCACCTGGTGCGGCAGACCTCTCCTGAACCCCGCAGGCTGCTCCCCTAAGCAGTGTACTTTGTTGATCTGCCTGTTCTCCCCACTCTGTCTCTGGTGAATCCTCTCACCTTCTACATCTCTGGCCTGTACCCCAGTACCATATGAATAAATAAATAAATCTTAAAAAAAAAGATACTAAAGGGGATGAAATAACTCTTTGTGGCAGAAGATGGAAAATAAAAACTGATCAGTGCAAAATGGGAGGGATTAAGATGGAATGAAATTGTACTTCTGAGATATCTAAGAGTCAAGAGAAGGAACTCAATAAGATTATCTTCAACAATAAAAAGGTGTGTATGAATTAGAGCACACAAAAATATGTAGAAATATTAACTGGAAATATAAACATACATGAATACATTTTACAGTAAGTATATATAGTTGATTTTTTAATTTAAAAACATTAACTAGAAATAAGCAAATCATTAAAATTTTAGCTGGTAATACCTCTGAATGATAATATTTTTCTTTCACTTTCTATAACAAATATATTTTCAATGTGAAACAAACCACTTCGAAGTGGTTTTGAAAAAAGATGCTTTAGATCACTAGATGGGGGGGTGGGGAGCAAATGCAGAAGGAAGCAAAGGAAGAAAACACAGGGACTGAGCATCTGGGAAAAAGACCAAATGAAAAATAGTCAGGGACTACAAGTTAGCTTTAGCGAAATATGTAAAGATACAAGAGACAAATTAAGCTAATTTTTAGTTAGCGCTAATGAAACAGAGAGACTGTGGCTAAATATTCCCAAGACTACTGAAAAGTTAAAATGGCTCCAACAAGAATTCATTAAAAAAAAGCATCACGGGCCCTCCCTGGTGGCGCAGCAGGTTAAAGCACAGCACAAGGAAGCTTAAACCACTTCCGCATGAGTTCGATCCCCGCCTGCCCCAGAGGTGACCACTTAGTGTGGCAGACCTCTCCTGACCCGCCCGCTGCTCCCCGCAGCAGTGTACTTCTGAGGGGATCTGCCTGTTCTGCTACCCAGTCTGTCTCTGGTGAATCCTCTCACCCTCTGCATCTCTGGCCTGTACCCCAGTTCTATATGGATAAATAAATAAATCTTTAAAAAAAAAAAAAGCATCACTTGTTGCTTGTTGCTTCCTCGGCTAGACTCACAGAAAACTAGTAAACAAAGTGATGGGTGAAACAATGCAAAGGTGCGTAAGAGGGAGACACTGCTAATTAAATACAGTAAACAATAAGAATTAACCATCTATTTAAATGTTCTTTGTTTTAAATAAAACTGGAGGCTGCTCTATTAACCCTTTATAATTGGGGAGAAATCACTTTGGTTAGTAAGTGGTTAAGTATCATGATAGCCAAGGCTGGTGAAGGGTAAAGAAAAAAGACTGCTTACTTCATCATTGAGCCAGTGATAATTCTTTAAGGTCTGGATATCTCCTCGAGTGATTCGCAATTTGAAAGCACTACTTAAGATCTCATCCTGTGGGCCATGGCCTAAGGCATTACTGATTTCCTTTTCCATGTCCTGAATTAAAAAGTCCAGAAGTTGCTATTTTAGTATAAAACCACTATCAGATAAAGACAGTCTGAGACTGAAAAAGGTTTTCATTTCTGCAAATTTTTCTTGGGAAAAATATATTATCAATTACTATTAAACTGAAGTGTGAAAAGATTTAAATTAGGACTACAAACAGTCTTACTGGTGGTTATTAAAAGCTAGTCTACTCTAACTTTTAGAAATAATTTCATAATAATATTTAAAGTAATCTCAAAGATCCTATTCCCATTTATTGAGCTTTATGAAACAAATATGGAGCCAGGTGTTCTAAACACGTAAATCTATGGGGGAAAGATTATCACCATTTAAATTATATGCTTTCAAATCATAATTAAAAGGCAGAAAATGCACACATATAGAAGAGTAAATGTAACCCCCAAATTTTACCAATATTTGAACCTGAAAATGTCTAAATTCTTACTTTACTCCTTTCATACTATAAAAATATTGCTATACTTACTTGCCGCCTAAACTTTCACTTAAAAACATAAAAATAACAAAATTAGGATACCTAAAGACATAAGAGAACAGGCAAAAGCTAGAAAACAAGGCAGCAGTCTAGTAGCTAAACTATCACTGATTAAGAGTCTCCATTATTATAAAGAATTATGTAGGCAAATACACATTTATGATATAAACTGAAACTTCAAACTCAACAGAACTTATCTTCATTCAAATATTTTTAATACTGCTACCCAAACAGCACAGAATTTTGCTATTTTACAGCTCCTTTTCTCCACTCACATACCCAGTAGCAAATGTCCAAGACCTGTTCAATGAACAAGACTGACTACCACCTACCTTGACACTGGACCTTGACACTGGACGAGGTAGAAAGAAAGCTCACATTTAAATTTAAAATCTACTTCTATTTTCTTGTTTTATATATGTTCCTACTACTGTGAAATGCAATAATCAATGAAATGGGACATTTTAGGAAACTATAATTACTTTGAAAAAAACTGCAATGATCCCATTTCTAAAACCAAACCTATACTATATAACCAAAATATTTGAAGGTTATAAAAATAATTTACAAAGACTACATTATTTCCATGACATATGACAATAATGTCTACTCATACTTGCTAAACATTAATTAACCTAATCCCTTCAGAGGTGACTAATGATCAATGTAGCCAGTGACTAACAGTCTTTGATCAAATCTCTCTGATAGATTGATTCGTCCCTAGCCTGGAGGAACTCCTCAAATCAAAATGTTGCTTAAAAACATCCTCCTTGTTTTGATCAACACAAGAAACAATACCTCTGTAAGTTCAAGAAGATCATCCGTCCTTTTATCCCTCTCTTTGCCTGAGCAATGTCTTTCTTTACTTTCAAGAACTGCCATTTTCCTCCTCAGTAAGCCATTGCTTCCACTGCCCAGGCGGAGTCGGGCTGACACTTCTTCAGACAGGTCCGGTTCTAGCTGGTGCCCCCTCCTCTATCAAAAAAGTTTGTTTTCCATTGATATGTTTGATACTAGCACATATAAATATATATAACACATGAAATATAAAACAGTGCTGTTATCTTGAAAGAAAAGAGAATTAGCAATCCAAATAGGAAAGACACTAGTCTATCTGTCTTTACTCTGCCTCCAAGAGGGAACAAAACATTGTTCAAGACTGATGGCTCACAGGCTATGCTTCATGTTACAAACCTTGAAACAGAATATTGGAGATAGCAAGGAAAATACTTGGAATTCTCTTAATTCAATTCAAAATGAAATAGTTAAGATGTATGAAAAGTCAAACAAGAAAATATGACCTATAATCCAATCACTAAGAACAAATCACTACTATTCTTACATTAAGTAAAGGTATTCTATTTGATCTTTGTAGAAAAGCATGCATTGTTGAAAAATAGACAAAACAGTGTACCACCTAATTTTTGTCGAATGCCTTTGTATTCATGATTCACAAATAGAATTGTTTCAGCATCTCAGAAACTCTGATAAGAGCCTTTCTTTTATGAACTTATGTAACACTAAGACAATGAATTTAAATAATCTTGTAGGCAAACTATTTTTTAAATTAGGAAATTTATTTAGAAATAGAGTTTTGACCTAGAACAGCACTACTCTCAACTGTCTAGCTAGTACTTTAATTACCAGATTTAGTGGGCATAGGAAAGCAAAAAGTACTGCCTCTTCCCCACAGTCCCAGAGAGCAAAAGCTTCAGAATCTGGGCTGGACGCAGTCTTATCCAAGTAACAAATATACCCCCTCTCTATCCTTTCTCAAGCTTTGTCCCTTTTTCTTTCAGTTTTTGGTTGACAATTGATAAGTAAAAATTAAACGCATTAAACACACAAGGAAATGGGAATCATTAGAAAAGGGAAAGTTCAAAGAATTATAACTTAATACTATTACTTAAAAAGACTAATTCTTACGAAAAAGACTAATGCAAGAAGATAAACTTGATCAAACTGAACATAAAGCAGTCCCCTAAATTTTGGCCTATATCTAAAATGTTCAATAATCTAAAACTTCATGTCTGCATTTAATTTCTGAATTTATTTCTTCTGGATATAGAATGTTTAGGAAAACACCTTGCCATTATTTAAAAATACCAATATTGGGCCCTCCCTGGTGGCGCAGCGGGTTAAAGCACTGCACTAAGAAGCTGAAACCACTTCCACATGAGTTCGATTCCCGCCTGCCCTGGGGGTGACCACATGGCGTGGCAGACCTCTCCTGACCGGCCCGCTGCTCCCCTCAGCAGTGTATTTCATTGATCTGCCTGTTCTGCTCCCCACTCTGTCTCTGGTGAAGCCTCTCGCCGCCCCTGCACCTCTGGCCTGTACCCCAGTTCTATATGTACAAATAAATAAATAAATCTTTAAAAAAAAAAAATACCAATATTGCCATGAAGATCATTGGAACACTTCTTATTCCAATACTGATTAGAAAATATAAATTCCATTTAAGCAGGAGATTCTCAATATTTTCAAGTTGCCCAGAAATCTAGACTCTGGTTTTAAAAAAAATTCTCCAAAAGAAGTCAGGTAACATAGATTGGGGCTGGGATGGCAGCAAGCTGGTATCTCTTACAAAGATGGTTACCAGAGGAAAAATCCAGCAACTCAGAAGGAAGCCAAAGTTGTATATCTTCAATACTTGATACTTTTTCAAAGAAAACAATAATTTAAATAAAATACATCATCTTACTTTTCATGGGCACCAAAATTTTAACACAGAACTGTAAAAAGGACATAAAATTTAACATAAAATTTTCTACTTACACCTTCATTGTCAAGTCTGATTCCAACTGTCTTCTCTGTATCAGAAATTTTCCCCTTTGAACACCTGGGGGGAAAAAAATTGAGAGATTACAAATCAGACAATTTTAACCTAGTACATGTTAGACTGATTTTATAAATAAGATTTAATACCTGGTAACCAAAATTGCCTTGAGTTTATATAATTCTCTACACCATAAATCAAAAAATTTTCTGAAAAGAATCAGGTATTTTATGCTTTGCAGGTCGTTTTATGGATTTTGTCACGTCTTCTCAACTTCTATTATAGTTTAAAAATCAGCCAGACAGTATGTAAATAAATGAGTATGGCTTTACTTACAAAAAAAAAAAAAAAAAAAAAAAAGGGCACTGTGCTAGATTTGATTCAAGGGACATATTTACATATTTTATTAAGCGCTTCTATAAACATGCTAGGGGTTGCCTTCACTGCTCCTATCTTAGAGACACCTGGTCACTAGTGATGCCTATTATACATTTAAGTAGGTGCCTATTTAAATGGCGCCTGCATCTCCCAACCTAAATGCCTAGGAGAGAACAAACTGCTCCCAAATTTGGGTGGGCCTCTGACACAGGAGCTGCCTACGTGCACACATAAATGTACACAGATGGGCTCTTCTTGTGATGAGCTCACAATTCTTCAGACCCAGTTACACATAAATAAAGTGAGAAAATAACTAATCAAAAGAAAACTTAGAACGAACTGAATTATATACCTCTTTTCACTTCTTACTGAACATAGAGGTCCCCTTGTTTCAACAACTCTATCTGTGAAGGTAGTAAAGAAGAAAGCAAATGTTATCTTTATTATCAATCATATAGCTACCATTTCAACTTACTTAATTTGTAAATTATCAAAACATTTACTTGTTGAAATGTTAAGTGAACTCCAAAAACACCAGTCTTCCTACAGATTAGTTAAGAACCACATAAACCTCTTTCTTTTTAAAATCTTCAGCATAAATTCGCTGCTCTCTGCTTACCTGGTAAACTGACTGAGTAGAAGTATGAGAAAATTAATGTAAGCAATATTAAGAGATTAATTTTAGGCTCAACACAGTATTTGCTACTATATAAAAGCTAGGAGTCATAATCAAGAGGTATTTTATGAATCTATCTCATCTTGAAATAGCATCTGCACTAAACCACTGGTCAGCAATACCCCAAGGTCTAAAAATGTTTAAGGTGTTTAATTCTCGTTAATAGATAGTGCTTCAATTTCATAATAATGAGTTAGATTTGTACACCAAGTTTCACTAATATATCATTTCTTAGTTTTATAACACATCAACTAAGGTCATATTAAGATAGGACTACATCTTAGTATATGGGAACTTACATTGTTTTGGAACAAACTGAGTTGTTCTGACTCCATGACTCTGCTCGTCCCCCCAGCCTTTGGTCTTAAGAGTGTCCATCTGACTTCTTTGAGAACTTAGGAACACACACACAAAAATGAAGAACATGAAATACAAGGAAAAATCTATCATAAATATTCATTATAAGCTTCTCCAAACAGGAGTTACTGAAACATCAAATTACAAGAGAAAGGAAATAATGCAGCACCGTCTGAGTTTAGGATAAAGAGTCTAGTCCTGCATCTACCATTTCAGCCACGTTACCCAATCTCCAGTTGCTCCACTTGTAAAACTGGATGTTCTCAATCACCAGCAACACCTTAACTAAAAAATCTTAGGTCAAAAGTTGAAAAATTTCAAATGATATACTGAGATGGATCCTAAAATAACACACCTGATTTTACATGAAAACAAAATAGTTTGAGGATTTTGCCAATATGACAAAATCAAAATGGAGAAAATACTGACAGTCTGACTTAAGATTTTTTTTTAATATTCACAACCAAAGTTAAAATTCCCAGATAAAAAAACTGTTATTTTGTATCTAACAGGGTAAGTAGTCTCAACTTCCTCACCTTCAACGTACTGTATAAATGTCCAGATTCTGCTCTGTGTATTCTCACACCACTTGTTAGAGCTATCAAGTGGACCTCAATTCTGAACTGACATATATATATTTTTAAAGATTTGTTTATTTATTTATACAAGAATGGGGGTACAGGCGAGAGGTGTGGGGGGTGAGAGGCTTCACTAGAGACAGAGTGGGGAGCAGAACAGGCAGATGTACTGAAATACACTGTTGAGGGGAGCAGTGGGCAAGAGAGGAGAGGTCTGTTGAGCCATGTGGGTCACGTCCAGGGCAGAGATCAAACTCATGTTGCAGTAGCTGTGGACCACTTCACAGTGCTGTGCTTTAACCTGTTGCGCCACCAAGGAGGGCCTGAATTCACATATTTTTTTATCCTTTTTTATAGGTGAATGTATGGCTAGACATGAACTCCTTTTGCCCCTTTCATATACTGCTCAAAGAATTGGAGTATTTAAACTTCTTATGACCTGGAGCTACTTTAATCTTATCTCCAAAGTAAAGATTTTTTCCAAATTAAGTCAAAAAGTACCAATATGCCTTAGGGACCATATGTGTGCCAGAGAGAAAGGAGGGAGACTGGTGGGAAAAGAGGGAGGAGAAGAGAGAGGAAAGGAAGGGGAAAGAAAGAGCCAGAGTTTATGGGAATCTGTGTGCTGGGAAAGTTGGGAAAAAAACAAAAAACAAAAAAACCCTGCCCCCTGGGAGCTCTACTTCAACCAGTGATTCTACTTATCATATCAGAGTTTCAAGAGTTTTCTTGAGGATCTCCCTGGTGGTGCTGAGGTTAATGAGAGTGCTATCACGCTATTGCCAGTCACTGTAGTATGAGTGGCCAGGGAGGTGACCCACATGGCACAGCAGACCTCTCCTGTCCTGCCCCCTGCTCCACTCAGCAGTGCACTTCAGTAGTTCTGCCTGTTCTGCTCCCCACTCTGTCTCTGTTGAATCTTCTTACCTCCACCCCAGTTCAAATAAATCAATCTTAAAACAAAAAAATGTTGACTTGAATATAGGACTATAAACCTAGGAGAAAATTCTATTTTATAAAAGCAATGTTCTATGTAATCCATTAAGAGATACAAAGTTTAGGCAAATTGTAGGACTAGTTCTCTCAAATCCCTTGAATCCCCGCTCTAAAAATAAGGAAAAAGCTGTCTGCAAAGCACTTCACATTTATTATTACTCAGTTTTACCTATGATGAGTTGAAGTTATAGGTGGAACAGAGTTTCCATGGCCATTTTCTTTAAGTCGCTCCAATAACTTTCGGTACTTCTCTCTTTCCTCTTTTTGAACACCCTAAATAACAGAAAGCATGTTAGATAATTGCTAGCACACTAAACCTATAATTTTCTTAAAAGATTTACTTACTTTTGTATACAAGAACTGGGATATAGGCCAAAAGTGGGGGGCGGGGAGGGGCAGTGAGAGGATATACTAGAATCAGCATAGGGAGCAGAACAGGTGAACTGTATATTTCACTGAAATATACTGCTGAAGGGAGCAGCAGGTTAAGAGAGGAGAGGTCTGCTGTGCCATGTGGGTCAACTCCCTGGCTGGGGATCAAGCTCGTGCTGCAGGACAGCTTCATAGTGCTGTGACTTACTTAACCCCTATGCCACCAGGAAGGCCCCTAAACCTATAATTAAACCATAAAAAGACTGAGATGTCAAATGTAGTCCATAGATATGTTCTGCCTCAGCATGGTGTTAATTTTTCTTTAAATTAACTACCAACTTTATAAATTTGAAAAGAAAAATTCTAAAATCTGGCCTCTTGAAAAACTGAATCAACAATACAGAGCAACTGTAAGTTAGTTATTTTCAGATGGGTCATTTACCCTAGTGCATGTTTCACTCAGTTCACAATATCTACTGGACATCATGGTCTCTAGGTCTGACGGTGGAACTGAGTTAACCCCAAAACTCAGCAGAAACAACCCAAGTCATATCCACAACACTGTTTCCAAAATGGAACTGGCCTACCAAAGTCACCAGTGACCTTCTACAGTCCAATCCAATAGGCACTTTTTCAGTTTATGTCACTTGATTTCTACCTTCAGCATTTCATCCTCCTGACCCGGCCTTGCCTTCTTGGATAATATACCCTTCTGATTTCTTCTTATCCTCTCACTGCAGATTACTTTTTCTGCCTGTCCTTAAATGCCAAAAGTTCTGCTCAGTATATCTTACACTACATTCTCTCCCTGAGTAGTTGCTTCAGTTGGATAGCTTTGTATCACACTGATATGTTAAGATTCATGAATGTGACTCTAACCCTGCCTTCTTCTCAAAACTCTTATCACATATATCCAAGAGGTTTACTGCATCTATAGGACAGGTCTTCCTGCGTGTTTCACAGGCATTTTCAACAAATGTCCAAAACTGAAGTCATCATCTTCCCCCTAAACATATAGGTACCTTGGTCAGTAACATGTATTTATCCAAGATTGAAAGTGGGATTCAGGCTCTTCCCTCTAATTCTATATAACATATAACCACTGAACATGACCTTGTTAATGTTACTTTTTACTATTTCTAGAAAATAGCCTGTATTATATATCTATATCTCTCTGTATCTATATATAGTAATTACTCAGTCCAATCTCCTGTCTACTCCTGTCTACAGGATTAGAGGCTACTCTAATCCTGCTAAAACCTTTCTATGAGCTGTGGTTCATTCCTCCCTTCTGCCTATCTCTGCTTGTGGATTTTTAACTACTTATGTATAAGTTCCTAGAGGGTAAGGACCACATTTTATTCAACTTTAAATTGCTGGCAACTAGCACTGTACCAGGGACCCAAATAAATATTTCTGACCCAACTAAGTGGCTCAGAGAGCCACCTAGCAAATTGTAACAGGTGGTAGTTCTAGGGGATGCTGGATACAAGAATAATTACACTTCTCCTGGAATAAGTGAAGACTTCAAAAGGGCAGTTAAGAAAAGAAAAGATTACTGATGAAGACAGCATGCTAAGGGCCTCCCTGGTGTGCAAGGGGTTAAGTTTCAGCACTATGAAGCAATCAGCAGCCACTGCAGCAGGAGTTTGATCCCTGCCCAGGGAGCAAACCTCTCCTGTCTTGCTTGCTGCTCCCCTCAGCTGTGTATTTCAATCAATCTACTTCTTCTGCTCCCCAGTCTGTCTCTGGTGAATCTTCTCACCCTTTACTCCTCTATTCTACACCTCAGCTGTTGTATTCATAAGTAAACATAAACCTAAAAAAAAAGAAGGTATCATGCTAAGAGCCTTGAAAAGGGAAGGAAAAGCAGACACACACACACCACTTACTTCCCTTACATAATCATAATTCTAGTTTGTAAAAGAAACGGATTAATATGATTCAGGTATCCAAAAGGAAAGAATCTATAATCTTATCTTTTCCTCACATTATTCTTTTTTCTCTCTTACAGCAAAAATAACTGTATGTGAACATTGCCTAAATTATAAATATGTAGAGTTTCTCTAGAAGGACATATATAAGTAGCTGAGGTTACTTGTTAAGTCAAAATGGGGATGAGAACAAGGTATAGAGGGAAACTGGGAAATTTATAATCACCATTTCCCCTTTTGTACCTTCCAAATTCTATAGCATGCCACATATATTATTTATTCCCAAAACTTTATAAAATATTTTTAAAAAGATCAGGCAAAAAGGGCTTACCTCCTCCACAGTACAGTGGGGACGTCTCAGGCCCTTGCCATTCTCTTCAGAAATCATTTCTGTTACAACCTGTTCCTGAGGTTTCCACATTAAGGAGCTCTCTGAATTGCCTCTGTTATGTCGACGGCCACCTGGTCTTCTACTATAGCCTTCTGAGTTCAAAGTAAAACTAAGAGAATAAAGAAAGAAACAATTATCACCAAACTGCTTAAATTGCTGGAATTTAAGCTCCCAGATCATTCTGTGTTTACACTTACGCTTGGCAAACCAGACAAACAGCATTTATAAAAGGTGGCTCTACCTCTACAGCAGAGAGCGCCACAGCACCTATGGTGTGCCACTATGGAATGTCTGTTTCCAATGAGACTGCGACATGAAAGCCTCTGCCTTCTTCTTTAGGCCCAATTTTCCAAAACTCTCTGGACTGAGCTCTCGATTACACATGCCCTTCTCTAATACTGTGCTTCTTTAATCACCCATCACAACTGGATTTAACTATTCATGTGATTATCTTATGTCTCTAACTTATCATTTAATTCCATAAAGACTGATAATATGCCTTTTTATCACTGTCATCCTAGCACAGGATCTAAGGCAAAAGTACTCAATAAATACCTGCTATCTAAGTTAAATGCTAGACATGAAAGCCATGAAGCTCCCACTCAGTCACTGTTGCTGGTGACAACGGTCTGCCTCACCTGTCTCTTAACAATAGTGGGAAAAGCTGATATTATATTCCTTCTTGATGTGATGTGTTAAAAAAAAATACAACTCCACTCACATAGAATTTTCACCCAAAATCCAAAATCTAAAACAAAAGAGTGAATATCTAACAAAATTAAGTAATATTCTACAAAAGAAATGGTTATATTTATTAAAAATAAAAAAAGGCTTAGGAGTTGTTCTGATTAAAGGAAATCAGAGACATGAAAATTAAATATACATGATCTTGCACTAAATCCTGGAGCAGAAAGAAAAAATCTCTATAATGGAAGAAACTCAAGTAAGATTATATGATAGTATTATATCAATGCTAAATTTTCTGATTTTGGTAATCTGGGATTATGTAAGTGAATATCCTCCTTCTTAAGAAATAAACACACTCAAACATTAAGATTAAAGGGATCTGGCTCTAAGACTTATTCTCAAATGGTTAAAAAATATATATATTATGTCTGTAAAACAGACTAAGGTAAACAGACAAAATGTTAACTAGTGAATCTGAGTCAAAAGTATGCACTTTCAGAATTCCAAAATACATGGAGAAAAAACTGATATAACTAAAGTAACAGAATAATTCACAATTATAGTAGGAAATAACAATTCTCTCTTATCAACCAGTAAAAATATAGAGAAAATCTGAAAGTCTATAAAACATTATGGCAACTTGACCTGACATTTACAGAACATTCCACCAAACACCAACATATTTATCTTTTTCAAGTGCATATTTAACATCACCCAAATAGACTATATTCCAGGCTATAAAACAAATGTTAACAAATTTAAAAGAACTAAAATCATACTCGAGTATATTCTGTGACCACATGGGATTAAACTAGAAATCAACAACAGAATGATATCTGGAAAGTCCCAAGTTTTTGGAAATTAACACTTACTTACACACTTATAATCACCAGTTAAAGGAGGAAATAAAACAGAAATTAGAAAATATCATCTTAAATTGAATTAAAATCAAAACCAACATTTTAAAATACGTGGGCTGCCACTAAAGCAACACTTAAAATGTCATTTCATAGCATTAAATGCGTAGAGGATAAGTTCACACCTACAATTATGTAAGCATATATTACCCAAGAACATCTCTTACATAATCATGAAGCAATCATCAAATTTAGGAATTTTAGCAATGATATAACATGTAGCCCATATTCATATTCCTTTAACTATATTAAAAATATTCTTCAGGCCCTACCTGGTGGCACAACAGATTAAAGCACAGCACTGAGAAGCTAAAGCCACTTCTGCATGAGTTCGATTCCCGCCTGCCCTGGGGGTGACCACATGGCGTGGCAGACCTCTCCTGACCCACCCACTGCTCCCCTCAGCAGTGTACTTCGTCGATCTGCCTGTTCTGCTCCCCACTCTGTCTCTGGTGAAGCCTCTCACTGCCCCTGAGCCTCTGGCCTGTACCCTAGTTCTGTATGCACAAATAAATAAATCTTTAAAAAATATATATATATTCTTCATAGCAATTTTTTTCTTATTTAGAATCTAATACAGGAGCTCATAATGCATTAGTTGATGTGTATATTTATTCACCTCACTCTAAACATATTTGTCTTTGTCTTTGCTTTATTTACTTTTAAAGATTTATTTATTTATGCATATGTAACTGGGGCACAGGCCAGAGATGTAAGGGGGATGAGAGATACCAAAGAGAGAGTGGGGAGCAGAAAAGGCAGATGTACTGAAATACACTGCTGAGGGAAACAGCAGGCAGGTCAGGAGAGGTCTGCCATACTATATGGGCCACCTCCCTGGCTGGGGATTGAACTTGTGCTGCAGTGACTGCAATAGCTTCACAGTACCGTGTTTTAACCTGTTGTGCCATCAGGGAGGGCCAAGATTTTATTTATTCATTTTTGTATAGAAGAAATGGGGTGTAGGCCAGAAATGCAGGGGGTGAAAGGATTCATCAGAGACAGAGTAGGGAGCAGAACAGGCAGATTAAATGAAATACACTGCTGAGGGGAGCAGTGGGTGTGACAGGAGAGGTTGCACCATGTGGTTGCACATGGCTACACCATGTGGGTCAGATCCCCAGGTAGTCATCTTTATAATTAAGAATACAAATCTGTTGTTTTGTAGAATGAATCTTAATTTCAATTTACCAGGTTTTTCCTAATTAGATTCTGATTATTGATTTTTATAGGAACACTACATTAAATGATAATGAAGTGCTTTTCATGTGGAGGCTGTGATGTCAGTTTGTCCCATTGTTGGTGATTTTAACTTTGATCCTTTATTTAAATGAGACCAGGCAGGTTTCTCTACTACAAAGTTAGTATTTTTTCCTTTTTAACTAAATAAGGAATTTTGGCAAGATGTTTTGAGTTTACATAAATATCTCATACCTTACCAAATTTTTACTTAAGGGTGTCAGCTCAACTGATGATTCCTATTTATATTGGTTATTACTGTGGTAGTTATTAAACAATGATTTTCTAAATTGAAATTAGCTGGCATTCACCATAAAGATCTTGCCCACCCTACACAATATATCTAACTACTAGTCTCTGTATTCTTATTTTTATCCATTTTAGTTCTTAAATTGTGTCCAATTTAGTAAGTGAAAGCCCCTCAGATTTCCTCTTGTCTCATGCTGGCATGTCTCCAGTTTTTGAGCACTCCTTTAATTTCTTGTACAAGATGTTCCAGATTGATTTTGTACTTTCTCTCCTCTACAGTCAGTCCATTGTCTAACTCCAGAGAGCTCTAGTCTTTAGTTTGTGTCTCATTCTTAAATATGTGTCTTTAGCTAAATATATTAAGGGGGGGGGGGAGGGGTAAAAATGTGGGGAAAAAATAAAGATTACAAGTATTTGAATAAAGATTCTATATAAAATATAAGACAAAAATAAGTCACGATAGGAGAAAAATTCAGAGGAAACAGATGAAGCAGAAAGAAGAAATTTAAGATAACTAACAGTTTTAGAGAGATAAGATAGTGCATCCTTAAACAAGATGCTTGGGAAAAGAAAAAAATATGCCATGTAGGGAAGGTGAGAATGCTTACAACTTAAAAGCTAACAGTCAAAAAAAATTAAAAATCAATAATAGATGTTTTTAGTGGGCAAGGAAAAGAATCTAGATAATTTCAGAGCTCTAATATCTAGGCAATAGGAATCCTAGAGAAAGTGAGAATATGAAAAGAAAATTATCAATAAAATAATAACATTTCATAGAAATGATAAATGTGTTTGGTGTATAATAATTTGTTAGACTACACACGTGATTTCTGAACTTCTCTGTATACATAATATACTTCAAAGAAATGGTTGGAAGTAAACAATTCTTGTGTAAAGGTTTTTAAGAATCCAGTTCTATAGTCAGATAGTATGGTAGAAAAGTAGCACACCTGAGTTTAAGTCTCTCACTTGCTGTACAGTATTTGGCAAGTCTCTAACCTCAGAGTACTTACTTAACAAGATTACATAATAGAACAAATGTGAAAATGCCTAGCAAAAGAGAGCATCTAATGATCCTAAGTTTCCATTTACAGAATGGCAGAGTTTAACACTTACCCAAAGGATGGCAGAACTCTGCGAGGTTGATCTCGGGTTACTGTCACTCTGATCTTTGGGTAGTCACTTATTCCATTAGGAGATTTATTACCTATTTTTAAAATGCATTTGTAATTGTTAGAAGGAAAAGAGCCCGTGAACAGTTGCTTTAAAAAGGAAAAGCAATGAGCAGCCCGCATCGTCAAAAATTAAGTCTTATTTTTTCAAATATTACTACCAGCAGTGGTCCAGCACAAACTTTGCAGAAGTCAAAGGAAAAACAACAGTGCTTGATTTCAGATACACAATAAAACTCATTGATTATTTTTTCTAGTTTTGCTTGCTATGACCAACAAGAGACATTACTAAACAATTACAAACTCTCTGTAATCTGATCAACTTGAATAAATTTTTCCAATTACTTCTACTTCCAAAAAAACAGAAGTTTTAAATAAAAACCTTCCACTTTACCACATTTCACTGAAAACTTCTAACACTTGGTTATATACTTCAAAAAAGAGTAACCAATTTAATCTGACACATTCTCTGTGGAGTGACTACAGGGGCATTGGTGTCCCTGAGGACTCCAAAAGGCAGAGGTCTAAAACTGAAAACCTTTTTCATAAACTAGTAGCAGCAAAATCTAAACTCACCTGAATTCATGTTTGCAAAACCTGACTTGAATGTCCAATCCCAGTCGTTTTTAAAAATTAGGATTCAATAAGCACAATATATCTAAAAACAGGAAAAATTCTGAATTCTTGCAGATAAGAGCCCATTGACCTCTTTCACAACAAATTTGCTCCACATATACCTGTGCCTCTTTGACCAGGCTACAAAACCAACAGAAATACAGCTCTGGTGCCTCAAGTACAAGATAAATCTAGCATCCTTCTGAGTGAATTTTAATGGTAAATTTTAATGGTGAATTTTAATGGTAAATTAATTTAGACTTAATGTAATTCAAACAATATGAGTAGATATATAAAATCTAATTTGTATTAACTCTTGAAATGAAAGGTTTCTGAAAAATGTCATTTTTGTTCCAGATCTTTTGGAACTAGATTCTATAGGTTAGGAGCATCTGTTAAACTCTCTGCTCATCGCTACCACCAGAAGTACTTCACTGAAAAGTTTGAGAAACACTAAGATTTTGATCAGTTCCATAACTTCTCCACTTTTGATTTCTGAATCCAAAACTTCTCTAAAAGCTTTTAATCCTTCTCAAACTTTGCAAGTCTACCTGTCTGTCAGAGATCACAATCATCTTTGAGAGATTCTGTTTCCTATTTCCCCCACCATTTTATAGACTATATACAAGAACTACAATTCAATTTAATGCTATAAAGATGATATATAGGTTCCTAAACCATAAAATTATGAGAAGGAGAAAACTAAGCCTACTCCCAATTAGATGATAATCCCCAAAGACAAGTTTTCATTACTTTACTTGCTTTGTTACTAAAGGTTTTATAATTTTGTTATTCCTGCCTGATAATTCAGCATCGTACGTGACATTTTTTTTTAAATGAAATGATGTAAGTCACATTAAGGACCCTGATAATATAATCAGAAAACTTAACAGTAAATTCAAAGACACTGCTAAGGGAAAGCTATGTGCTATTTTGATGGTGAAAAGAATGTCTTAGTTTCCATCTCATTCCAAATCAGTGTTTTCCACTCTTGGTCTCAAAATTCAGTAAAAAGGGGTCAATGGAGGCAGAGAAAAGCATAAATATTTTGACCACCTCACCCAGTTTCAGCATGTTGTTCCAGGATCCAGAACCTGTCAGTTCACAAGATGAAGAGTTCGAAAATACCTTAAAATCAAATAGAATAATCTCTGTAGCATCTAGATTTTAAAATGGAAATAAGTTTCTAACATGAAAAGAAAAATCACTCTATTGGATATTATTTACTTAGGTAGCTCATAGAAAAGATACCAATAAAACCAAAGGTTTTTAATTGTGAAAAACACAAAATAATCATCATCATCATCATCATCATCATCATAAAAAACACTCCAGGTTCTTCACATATGTTTACATAAGAAAAGCAGATGTATTAGTAATCAGATTCTTTATAAATATTTTGTAAATATATAATCCCTAAATCTTTAGTTTCTTGATTTTTGTATCAAGGCTAATTGATATGAACATGAACACTGCTTTCTGGGAAGATATAATGCTACACATTAGTTCTTAAAATGAATACTGTATTTCTAATTTAACTTCAGTGATTAAGTACAAATAGCAGCCCCAACAGAGTCCTGTTCCCACTGACCTCTCCTGAAGGGGCCACATTCCTTGTTCCATTACAAGCAGAAGTCACCATGGGCTTTGTGGTCAGCTGGAAGGGAATTCCAAATAAGCTGGCAGCATTGTAGAGACTGCTTTTCACTTGGTGAATAAAGCAATCTAGAAAATATAATACAAAATACATATAAAGAATAGTACCTTTCTAGCAAAAAGACTATCATAGAAAAGGACTTCCTGGGCCCTTCTTGGTGGCGCAGTGGGTTACAAGCGCTGCGCTACGAAGCTAGCTGCAAGCCACTTCAGCATGAATTCCATCCTGGCCAGGGAGATGACCCACATGGCACAGCAGACTTCTCCTGTCTCGCCCACTGCTCCCCTCAGCAGTGTTCTTTGTCAATCTGTCTGTTCTGCTCCCCACTCTGTCTCTGGTGAATCTCTCACCCCTGTACCTCTGGCCTGTATCCCAGTTCTGTATACATAAATCTTTAAAAAAAAAAAAAAGTCCTTCCTTAATTTTCTTTGGAAATCCTATTTTCATTTATCCAATTAAAAAGCTATCTATAAAGGTAATTTTTCTCCTAGATGAACAACTGGACTTTTAGCTTGGTGATTTTTGTGAATCTATCACATTAGCAAATTATATACTAATTCACAGAAGTCCTGAAATGACAGCTATTAAGGTGAGTTCTTCAGAATTCATAAAATAAGCCTGTATCAGAGATACAGGGGCATAACTTAAATATCCAGAAGCATGGAACCACTAGGTACAGCATACCTATAGGAACCTCTACTATTTATTCTCTAGTTTGTCCTTATTTCCCAGGCAGCTATGAAAGAAGCTCATCCCTCTACTGGAAATGCATGAGAAGATCTCAGAAATAACTCTCTACCACCACAAATAAGCAAATAAGTAAGGGGAGAGGACATGCTCTCCCCATGTCCTTTTTTTTTTTTAACACACTACCCTTTCTCACTTCCTATACTACAGACTTGTTTTTTTTAAACATCCTATTTCCTAATTAGGGGTATTTTAAAGCCTAATTTGAGGAAGAAACCATCAATTTAGCCACACTCTGCTTTAGAGAAAAATAGCCTGAGCTGAAATGGTGGCTTTTAAGCACCAAGCATTCCAGAACATACAACATTCCCAGAAACATTTCTGGGAAGAAATAATTCTACACATTAATTCTTTAAAAAAAAAAAAAAAAAAGAATGTGCTAATTAACTAAACAACCCATAGGAAAATAACTTAAAGGACTGGAAGCATATGACAGTTGTGTAAAGACAATTTGAAGTAATCTGTAACTAGAGAATAGTTAAAAGTAACAAAGATGGTCAATGATTTTACCAATTTTGGAAGCAGAGGGGGTTCCAGGTTATTCCTCTAATAATGTTTAGAGATGTCACTTACATTCTGCTGTGCTTTGTTAAGTCAAGGGGAGGGGGAAGAACTTTGGGAATTGGTGCTTAATCTAGACTGTAACATCATCCAGACCTCAGAGGACAACAGGTACTCTTAATAACATTATTAAATAGTGGCTTCTAAAAAGTATATTTGTTTTCCTATAAACTTTGTCAAAAATAAGTAGGTCCAAAAATTATGTCAAAAGAGCTCAGTGATGAAAAAGCAGACGAAGGGGTGGAGGGAAGAAAGGCAGCTCCACCTCATTTGTAAATGGTGATAAGATTGATCACCTGATTTTCCTGAGACTACACACTAGATTTCTCAAAACCCCTTTATCTGTAAGATTATGAGTCTATGATTTATTTATTTATGCATACAGAACTGGGTACAGGCCAGAGGTGCAAGGGGTGGGAGGCGGGGTGCGGTGAGAGGATCCACCTGAGTCAGAGTGGGGAGCAGAACAGGCAGACTGACGCAGCACACTGCTGAGGAGAGCAGCAGGCGGGCCAGGGAAGGTCTGCCTTGCCACATGAATGAATCACCTCCAGGGTTGGGGATGGAACTCATGCTGAAGTGGCCTTAGCTTCCCAGTGCTGTGCTCTAACCCACTGTGCCACCAGGGAGGGCCCGTGAGTCTGTGATTTTAAGGTCCCCTTTTCTTTCACCCTCCCTTCTTTCATCGCAAAAGCCACCAATATAATCTCACTGACCAATAGAGTAACCAGTAGCCAAATGTTGTTACCTACATTTAAACTTAATTAAAATTAAATGTAGCTGCTCAATCACACTAAGCCCATTAAAGTGCTCAACAGCTGTCACTGCTGAGAACTGTATAACATTGCTGTAGACCTTTATAAACTCTTACAGTAAGTATTATTTCTGGCCCCCACTGCTTTCCTCTTTGCTTAGGTTCCTTTGTAAAGCTTCCATTCAGAAAACCATTACGTATTTCTTAGAAATAACAGAGGAGGCTCTCCGTGGTGGTGCAGTGGGCTGAAGCTCAGCACTGCAAGCTAGCCCAAAGTTGCTTCAGTGCCAAGTTCGATCCCAGCCCCCAGAGGTGATCCACATGGTGAGGCAGACCTCTTTTGACCAACCCATGCTCCCCTCAGCAGTGTACTTCGTCAGTCAGCCTGTTGTGCTCCCCACTCTCTCTCTGGTGAATCTTCTCACCACCCAGCACCTCTGGCCTGTACCCCAGATCTGTATCCAAAAATAAATCTTAAAAAGAAAAAAAAGAGGCCCTCCCTGGTGGCGCAGCGGGTTAAAGCACTGCACTGAGAAACTAAAGCCACTTCCACATGAGTTCGATCCCCATTTGCCCCGGAGGTGACCACATGGCGCGGAGACCTCTCCTGACCCGTCCGCTGCTCCCCTCAGCAGTGTACTTCATCGATCTGCCTGTTCTGCTTCCCGCTCTGTCTCTGGTGAATCCTCTCACCCTCCGCATCTCTGGCCTGTACCCCAGTTCTGTATGAATAAATAAATAAATCTTTAAAAAGAAAAAAGAAAAAAAGAAATGATGGAGGGAGCGAGTCTTAACATAGACTGTCATGAACTAGATGATTACCTTAACTATTTTAGGATCTTTCTATAATGCCACCATATATAATTATTTGTATTTTACCAGAAAACTCAAATTTTTTTGCTAAACGCATTTAAGAGACAATTCTATATTTACATACAGAAAAATATATTTTATAATAAATATATATTTATATAAACATAAATCAACATCATCTGCCTTACAAAGAAATGAAAACATATCAGTTTCAGCGGTACTGTTTTTAAAAAGATCAACATGTATTAAACAAGTATTCAAGACATTAATACTAAATCAAGATTTTCTATTTGAAATAATCAGAAATAAAAATAACTGATAAATAACTTTTTTAGTATATAATTCAAATACTGCTTATAATGCTATGAATGCTGTATCTCTTAAAATAATCTCCCTCGTTGGTGCTTTGAGAAATACTGTCATGATGGATTTAACATAAACATGCCTGGCATTCAAAATCCTATATAATTTGACCTCTCTCTCTAGTCAACTTTTCCAGACATCTACTTGTCATTTCCTAAACTGCCTAACTTTCCCATACCATTCCCTGTTCCTAGAATGCTTTTCCTTCTTACTGCTCTCTGTTGATATCTTATCCATTCTTCAAGATCCATCAGACATAGTACCTCCTTCATCAATTATTTAATGAGACTCTAAAGCAGCAGAAAATTAAACAGTATTTTGTTACTACCAGTTTTATTTATCTTATGTTCACTGACAATATTTTTTATGTGCTTATCTTTATACCAGCTACTACATAATCATATACCTCTACAATTTATAAGTTCTTTAAAAAGGGTCCCTGGCTTACTTCATTTTTGTATTTCCTGTAGAACATAACACGTTACTTATCATTCAGACACTCAATATGTACTCAGAATTTAATGAAATCTTAACAGACTTTTCATCTTAACTCCCACATCTATAAGTATCCAAACTGAGATTCATTTTTGAGAAAGGATATATTATTGTAGTATCCCATGTACCTTTTCCCTTTAATCTAGTTTATTCTCTTCAAGTTATATCTAATCCTTCAGATACGGGGAAGTAAATAAACATTTTGGGGCAACATGTTAGATTTATTCACTCAGTAATCTGAACTAGATCACTTCATCTGAAGTAGTTTTTAAAATATTTCTCCTCCATAAAAAGAAGGCACTTTTTCTTTATAGAAGATTTAGAATTTTTAAATGTACATTCAACATACAGGTTTGTTTGTCTGGAAAGATAAGAAACAACCTGGTAAAAGGTTTGATACCTCCAAAAAAGATAACTGGGTAGAAAAGGTATAAGAACAAGAAAGAGACTTTTTTTTACTGAATCGACATTTTACCTTTTGAATTTGTTCCATCCACACATTTTTTCCTATTAAAAAGACTAATTTTTAAAATGAATATTCAATACCTAATCTTGGTCTTTTGGCAGGTATTTCATCAGTGTCCACTGTAGAAAACACAGTGCTGAAAAGATAGAGAGAAAAAATATATATACATATATATGTTTATATATACACACAGATTTGTTTCTATAAGTAAATTTACTATTCATACAACACACTCTTCTATCCACTTTGGCATAAAATGAGATCCACCTGATGTTTAAAAGAGAATTCTACATCATAGGTGTTTAGCATCTGAGGTGTTAATAGTATAGATTCAGCTATTTGAAAATAACCCAAAACACTCTATCATATAATAGTTCATAATTTGGCTAAAATACAAATTTGAAACTGACAGAAATCAGCTAGTAAATAAACACAGTAAAGACTAATATTTTTTTTGTCCCACTAGAAATAATTTTAAAACAAATTTCTAAAAGGTACTACCATCTCCTAGACTCCTCACCTACCCTGGGGAAAAAAAGGCACCTTCTATTTTGGATAGAAATAGACATACAAGAAACCTTTAAAAAAAATTGTTCTCAACAAGAAAAGGATTATATTTAACCACAATTTTATTGCAGAAACAATATATTACAGTGGTAATAAAGAATTTTGGAAGTCAGTAAAGTTCTGACTACCTCAGAATGGTGAAGGGTCATAATATATATTACTAATCATCTTTCTAAAGGGGATTATAATTGATCATGCTTACCAATGGATGAACAGAATACACACCAGGAAAACGCCACTTTAGTCATAACCAACAAGATCTATTTGGCTTCATTTTGAATGAAAAATAGCTTGCATTAAGAAGAGTTGTTATAGATTAAGGATGTACAGTAAAAACAGTGTTTTGATCTCTAAATAGTTTCCCTGACTAGCAGGGATTTACATTAAAAATGGAGAGAGGAAAGGGAACTACCATTCTTTTATTCAATAAATAGGTAGCAAATGTCTGTGATGTATACCAGCACTTTCAATACATTCTCAAATGATAGCTACAACCCTACAAAAGGAAAATAAATAGAAATCTTGCGATCTCTGGAACTCATGAAGGAATTTCGCTAACAGTCAATTTCATCAATGACCTACATTCTCAGACTCATATATTAATCATTCTGTTCTTTCAAGCGTCAAGAAACCACCCTTCAGTGATCTCGAAGCTTAATAGAAAAAAAGGAAGTTAATACCTGATTGCTCTAAATTGAGGGGGGGAGTGTGGTACTTTACTCTTTAGATTAATTCTTAGGCAAAGAAGGAGGGTAACACTATCAAATGGGATTAAGTCAAAGGTGTAGATACAAAGTAAGAATAGCTTTAAGTGTCCCTAAAATCTTAAATGAATATTAGAGAACAGACTTGTCAACTCCTTAAAGGAGTGAAATACCTTTTTTCCTTACACTAATTCTAAAGCACAGAACCACTCTCCCTCCCTCCCTGGTCCCCCAAACACACACACAGTCTGACAGCTGCTTCACACAAAACAGCTGCTGTCTTTTGGTGCAAAGAATAGTACTCGAGGTCAAAACAGCTTTGAGCAAGCTAAGACTCTTACTTCCTTTAACCGCATTTTTTTTTTTTTTGCCCGCGGATGACATTTGGGCGTGTGCTTGTAAACAACAAAGATAATATTCCACCGATTTTTAATTTTCAACCTGTGAGCACCAAAATATAACAAAACCCCATTTGTTGACAGCCAACAACTTGACCGCGGAAGATAACATCAAAGATCCTACCTACCATCACCTGCCACTCCTAAAGCAACTAGCTCCTCCATCATTAGGAGCCACATCCGCACAGTGCGGAGGGCGAGACTACGTAACCACGACACCCGCCACCGGCATCTCTACAGACTCGGCCCTGCTACCTGTATCGGCTGAGCAAAGTCGGCCTGGCTTGGATCGGCTACCCCGGCCTACCCCGGCTGCTCACTGGGTCGGGAAAGGTGGGGCAGCCAGGCCGGCGCTCGGCCCTCTCTCCTCTCACCTGTTCGAGCGCCGCCTCTTCAGGAGGGCCCGGGCAGGGGGCACCGTCTGGTCACAAAAACGGAAAATGGTGCCGAGAATCCTAACCAGCCATTTGTACATACCAGGCCCAAGCAGCAGCGGCGGCCGACACACCCCGAGACGCAAACCCCAGAGCTGTCGCCGCCGCTGCCGCCTTCGCCGCCTCGGCCACCACCGCCAAGGCTCAGTCGCCGACTTGTGACGCGATCTGAGGGCCCGCAGATACAACGTCCCCAGGGCTACAGAAGGCCCCAGCCAGCCCCAGCTCCTGACGTCATCTCCTCCACCCGGACCGGATAGCATCTTCCAGCTCAGTGTGCGCACGCGCAACCGCGCGCCCCGCCCCCACACCTCCCGAACCTAGCAACCGGAATGCCGGCGGAGCGGTCCTGATCCAATCGCCGACGAGATCGGAAAGGCTGTGGGCCGGGTTTTCTCCACCGAGCCAGTCCTGAGTCTGCCATTTGGGCAAGGCCCACGGCCACACGTGAGCTTCTCCAGCCGGGAGTGCTGCGGGGGCCTGAAAAACAGCAGGGACTCTGTAAATGTTTGTGCAAATAAATAAAAGCAGGTCAAGTTAATGAACACATACTGAGCACTCTTTTTTTGCGCATGTATCTGACGAAGGAGGATACTATACACGCTTTGTCACCTCAGTTCATCGTCACTGCAATCGCAGTGGCTAGGCAGTCCTTTTAATAAGTGAGGAAACCAAGGCATAGGGCGATTAAGTCATCTGTGTATGACCACAGAGCTAGTTAATGGCATACCCGATTGAGCCGAGGTCTGAGTATCAGTCCAAGGCCCTCGCTGTAGAGGTCAGTTACTGGGAGAAACATAATTCACAAAGTACAAGATAATTGCCTCCTGTGAAATAAAACGAAAGGAAAACCACACCCTAATAAAGGCAAGAAAAGGGTCAAAATGTACCTGTGGCTTAATAGTACCTAGGGCTGCCAGGAAGTACAGCTACTGACTCTTCCTTTGTTACCTAGAGGTCACTCTTCCGGTTAATTATCAACAGAAAACCCCCACCCTACTTATTGATAGAAAGCCACTCCCATCCCTCAGTCCTGAGACTCCTCAAAGATTTTCTTGCCCCATAAATCCATTCCTTACTTCATTTGATTCTTACCTGTGATTTCAGTTCAAGTCAGACTTCCAGACGTACTTGAACTTCAACACAAGCACTTCCCAGTACAGTTTCAACCTAGGTTCAATAAGCAGTATTCTAGAATTCTGCTCACATTCTAAGCCCCCTAAAGTTCCAGAGCCAACAGTCACCCACTACAGTGCCCTAATGGGGGGGGGCCAGCGAGGGGGCGGGGAGTGCAGGGAGGGGGAGGGGTGCTGCGGGGTGAGACAGGTCAGTTTCACAAGGGTGGAAGCGAATCCTAAGTGTAGACTGAGATCCCCTTCCTCCATTCCCTCAATCTGTTGCTGAGTCTGAAAGAGTAGAATTACAAAACCAAGGGGAAGATTTAGAAGTGGTTATTTCAAGTCCAGTATTTATAGCCCATTGCCCTTTTCCCTGCCTAAAAGACTCTTCTCCCCATAGTTATCTCTTCATATCTTTCAACATCTTTTATAAGCAATCAACAGAAAAGACTTTTCCTTCCACCTCTTATTTAAGACTACCTCCAAGTAGTTAATTTAAGACTACCTCCGGTGGAGCTGTTTAGTTATGTTCCAATATTACATTCTACTATGAGTTTGTCTTTGCTTTTGGCCAAATGGAGGTGACCACTCAAGTCATGTTTGGATTCTCCAAACAAAAAGCAGGCTTCCTTCAAAACAAATCTGAAAACTGCAAGATAGTTTAGAATAGTATACCTTATCCCAGGTGGTAGCCGCCGATATTTTGGAAATATCAGCATCAAGTCTCACAGCACAATTTTTTCCCCCTGCAATATTAGCATTCACACATACCTAATACAGAAATATTGGTCACAGGCCATGAAAACTGGGAAGGCTTTGGAATTACAGGCCTCAGTCCAAATCCCTGGGTCTCATCAGCAAATAGCTCCCGAGTACAGAGATTAACTCCCAGGAGCCTCATATGCATATTCCCTTTTATATTCTCTTAATGCTCTAATTGACCTCTGGAGTGGGAAGCAGACTTAAACATGCAGTTGCTCCCTCCCAGAACTTGTTTGCCAATTGAACTTGTGTGCATTCACTGTGCTATCGACAATAGGGGCCTGGGACACTACCTGTCCACCACCCAAGAAAGAGGGTTATATTTAGCCCCAACCTCACTACAGGTGCAGCCATTCCTGGAGCCTGGCACTCCACTGGAAGGCCAGAGGAGAAGTCCAAAGTCTTATGCAGTAACAGAAGCAAGGAGGTTGGGGCCTCCTTGGTGACACAAGAGTTAAAGTCTCCACAGCTATCAAACTATCAACAGCCATTGCAACATGAGCTTGATCCCTGGCCCACATGGCACAGCAGACCTCTCTTATCTCTCCCGCTGCTCCCCTCTGCAGTGTATTTCAGTAGATCTGCCTGTTCTGCTCCCTACTCTGTCTCTGGTGAATCATTTCACCCCATCCCTGTGTACCTCTTGCCTTAACCCCAGTTCTTGTATGCATAAATAAATAAACTTTGGAGAAAAAGAATAGCGCTGTGATTTTGGCTCTTGGTTTGGATAACTTGTGCCTTTGTATTGCCAGGGAGGCAGCAGAAATACAACTACTTAATTTTTCCTTGTTCTAAACAGTTACCCTAATATTCCTGCTAAACTCTTCTCTTTCAAGACTTTCTAGGGCCCCTCCCCTCAAAACCTACTTTCCCTCTGCAGAACAATGAAGAACCAGCTCTCCAATCCATTTCATAATCTTGCAGTTTTTTCCTTTGCCAGCATTCTCAAGATTTCCTCTCAAGCTTTTTTTTTTT